CGGCGGACGTGTCCTGGTCTTGGATGGTGTTGGTCACGGCTTGTGCTACAGAGTGAGAAAAAGTGTCGCTTGGGAGCAGGGGCAGGGCAAGACCTTTTTTCTTTCTTGTTTTTCTTGTTCCAGGTGAGATTTATTTCAGTTTACTAGTTTAGCTGCTCCTGTAGTGGCATTTTTCACAGTATACACTTTTTAACATGTATATATATGTATGTCTTTTTTGCATCTAGATATGAATTTACACTCTTTAAAGGCAAACTGTAAACAGGTTCGTCAGCATCTTCTAACTTTTTTGGTGACAAATTGATATGCACATCACATTCTTTGTGCCTTGGGGCACGGAACTTTCTTGATCAACGTTGTCAACATGACATGATTGTCAACAAACTTCGTGCTACTAGTAACAGAGGGCATCGCTACTAGGAGCAATTACGGTACAAATAGCTCCTGGCCTTACTACTCTAGTAGCATTCTTGCTACTGTGAGAAATGGACATCGGGGACGTTCCTTTCTCCCTGTGGGCATCGTTTTCGCCAGGCGAGGGGGCTCGCACAACATGAGATGTTCAATTGCACAAACTTGGATGCTTGGCGAGGTGCAGTCTCCTTTGTAAGCGGTTTGATCTGCATTTTGGTCTGTTGTGGGTGATCCATATGCATATGAATACGGCCCTCAGCTGCTGTTAACCAATTGCAGTCCTGGCGGGTTTGTGTTTTGCCTATGTGCAAGTCTTCCTCACCCTAGTGTTCTGCAACGGCAGCCATGCAATCAGCTCTCGCGTGAGAGACAGCCTGAGATTTGACTAAGGTCTTTTCCAGCCGTGCGGCTACCTTGCTTTGCGCGAAGGCAGTGTACCGTCCTACACTTGTATATAGTAATATTAGAAATTAGTAATTACATAATATGTCAACATGCCTGCCTTACTATTATACTCACACTACAAGGTGAATTCAACCACCACCACCACCACCACCACAACAACAACAACAACGACAACGACAACGACAATGACAACGACAACGGCAACAGCAACGACAGCAACCGCCTGCTACTTGCTACCAGCGCCAGCACTAACACCACCACAATCACTAGCTCTCCTGCTGCCGCTCTTGGCCTCTACTTTCACATTCGCGTACTGCCAGGCGCGCCAGTCGCCACAAGAGCGGCTAAATGCATGGCACGACCCCGGGGTCATTGTGGCCGCCGCTTGCCGTGAGATTTGCTACACTGTGCCCAGTCATCGCTTCCGGCACCCTGGGAGTCGTACAGCAGAACTGTGCATGAATTGAACTGAAATGAAGACATGTGCAAACACATGCAGATTGCTTCATGCACGTGCATGTGGAGATCCTTCATATAGCCCTAAGGGGCCGAAAGCAGCGTGGCTAACGAAAGAACTTAGGTTGGTGTTGGCGTTAGCTTTGTTCCCAAGAATGGCAGTGCATCAATGGTGCTGTTTGAGTGCTAGCTCGAATCCACTCATTTCATGATTCTGAGGACAATGTGGTGCTCTTTCGGGGGCCAGCTGAAGATGGCTACCCTTTTCTATCACAGGAGGACCCTCCAAAAGCCTTGGCACTGTAACCTATGCAGATTGATGCCGATCCAACTTTGGAGACTGATTCAGTTGGACTTGATTCTTTTTGCGCAGTTTCTTTTTTTTGGGGGTGTGGGGGGTGGTATATATATATATAGGTTGTGTTTGTAGTGTTTGTGGATCAGGAGCAGTTGAATCTTCGGGTTCTTGTCGCAGGGCGGGCATTGAAGCGTTTGGGCCTAAGATGACAAGACAGGGCGCGAAAAACCTTGGTCAGACACCCCGAGACGGGGGAATAAGGGAATGTACTCTTCGCTATGTTAGGTTGCGCCTACCCATTCCTGGCTTGTACGGACAACCCGATTCATGGTGTTCCTCCTGTTTGCACATGCCCCTCTCTTGGTCCGACTTTGAGGTTCTCATCAGCTTGTACGCTCAATTGTTGGTCGTGAGTGCTCACCACTGCTTACCATATGCTACCTTTTGGCCCATATTCCTGTTCATCGAAAAGACTTGACTAACTTCTCATCTCCTGGCCTTTTTTCCAGATTTCTGGCCCAGGCCCCTGGCTGCACAAGGGCGCACCTCAGTTGCAGTCCGCCCACTTGAGTTCCATGCAGCCCTTGGTGTTGGCAAGCTCTGAAAGTCTTTTGCCATTGGTTCTTCACTCATAAGGAACAGTTCTTGAACCAAGACGACTTCCTGGCTTTTTCACACCGCTTGAACCTCATGACTTACAAAGCCCTTGAGCTTCAAGCGCCTTGGCCAGAGTTGCCCGAATGAAGATTTGTGTGGCTGTGCCCTAAAGTGTGGGAAAAAGAACACGTGCAATGGGAACGCATTCCGCTGAGATAACGTACCACTTCACCGGTGGTGGGCACGTTCCAATTCGCGATAGGAATTGGCCGTCCCCTCCCCGGTAAGCAGCGAGAACATTTCACTCTGGGGAAAGCTTATTTGGATGCATTTTGATGTTTCTTGAAACGCCCCGTAAACTTGCATCGCTTCACCAGCGGCCACACCCTATTACTTCACGAGTGTAAACCCGCTGCCCTCACCCCACCGCCGATAACATTATTCCGAATTCAACTCATGCAGAACCTTTCTTTTGGCAGTTGTTCACCTTGGATCTCCTTCTTTGGCATGGTGGGAGAGTATGAGATTGCGGTGTGACATGTTCGCGTGTGTTCGTTTTGAAGCCTATGCCTTTGCACAACCCTGCCGTGTTAGACCTCAGGACAATCAGGACCTGTCATTAGGAACGGCACTGAGTCGCTGAACATCGCAGGAACCAGATGGACCAGCTCCCATTTTGGTCCTTGCTGCTTGCGGTCTCGCGGATGCCGAACATCGGCAGCCACGGGGTGGCATTGGTCAGGTGCAGATTTGCATCCGTTCTCGGTATACAGCAGACGCTCGATTTTTGTTTTATTGCATGTAACATTGCAATGTAACATCATGTAACTGATATTATATTTTACGTCTTTGGATTGTGGAATACGTGCACATGCAGAGTGAAGTATCCATGACATTTATCTACTGCAAGTTGCTGTATGTATTTTGCCAATATGCAGACAGACTCACCCCACATGGGTGCCACTTGAGCTGAACTTGCACCTGTTCTTTCCTCTCGTTGCGTAGCACATCCAAAAGGGGCGTTTTTGTGCGACTCCTCAGCCTGAATCGACCGTGTTTGTTCAGATTTCGGTCGCAGGCGCTCAAAACCTGGCGTACCATGTGGTCGGGCTTCTTCGAGGCCAAGTGCGAAGGGATCGAGTTGAATCAAATCGAGACATGCAAGGAAACAGAGGACACAAAGAAAACCCGTCTCGCGAAGGATCCGAGTGGTCCGAGTGCGTCTGAAGACATGGCATGTTGCAAGGCGGTTGTTGTTGCTTGTGGCGACAGTGAAACTGCCGCCATCATCGACCGGGCGGTCAACACAGTGACCTTGCTGCATGGCCAGGGCGGTGATAGATAAGGGATCCCCTACCCCAAGGACCGACCCCAAATGCACAAGAATCAATGCCTGTCATGCTGGCAATGCTCTCAAGTTATTGCTGTGCCGCTTTCAGCTGTATAGCTAATGGGTTCTAGTGCATGCTGAATGCCGCACATGTCTTTGTGGTGCCGAACCTGGAATACTGCTGAGGATGTATACATGAAGGCAACGGAGCAGAAATTCATCGCAATCTTGGCAGATCCACCCCAGAATCCCATTGAGCAACCGTTGGTAGCTATCAGCAGAAAGACATACGGTACCCGTTTTTGGAACCGTGGATTTGACGGCCTAGCGTGCTCTTGATTCTGAACTTTCTGAAAGACTGCATCGCTTTCTGTCTTTCATGTTTGCAGCTTGGAGTTGCCTGGCATGGACACTTGTAGCAGGTTCTACAGAACCAACCAGTGGCTCCAAGTGCCTCCCAATGGCACTGGAAGCCCGTAACTTGGCATTGCATTTTCTTTTGTGTGAACTTCTTGAACTTGCTCACCTCGGTTTGTGTGAAGTACTATCGTCTGGCATGGATGTAGAAACTGTGGAGGAATTATTGCGTGAATGTTGTATACAGGAATGTTGAGTTGTGCATCATTTCGAACGATTTCTCTCACCACCCGATGTCTTAGATGTATTTTTATCATCCGTAGGATTCCACAAAGACACGTGCAGCTTACAAGCAGAACTACATTCGCATACATATGTGACGTAGAGATGCTAGGCTCCTAGGACTCAGATTTGGCCAACAAGATCGTTGATCAATAGGAGTTGTGGTTGCATTAAAGTTTAAGTTTGGGGATGTGACTGTGGAGATGGAGCTTTGATTTGAGGCAGTAATGCAGCTTTCTTACAATCCTGTGCCTTGTCTTGCCTTGCCTCTGACGCTCGGGGGTGTTGTGACATGAAGGCATTGCTTGTGCAATTTGGATTCGGCATTGATTATGTTTGTTTTTTTCCCCTGAATTTTGCTGTGTGCCTTCTCTAGGTCCATCGTGTCCACAATAAGCGCTAATTACATTCCTAGGAGTCAGTCAGGGTGATTCTGAGTGCCCGGGCAGTGTTTACCTTTTTATAATATATATATATACAGTTATGTATACATATATATACACATGCATCATCATCGTTTATCTGAGGTGTTTTCTTGCATCGCTCGAAAAATGGAGAACATCAGAGAGGCCCCAACCGCTCAGCGCCGCGGTCGACCAGGAACCACCGTTTAGCATTAGGCGTTGGCCAAGCTCAAGCTTGGGGTCGAGGCCCATGATCCAACCCCAACACCTGCACTGTCACACGCTTGCCGAATAAAGTGACATTCCATTTTCAAACGTTCTTTGAGCGTTTGAGAGCACCAAAAGCAAACACTGGTTGCCGTTCAACTCCATCAAGAATTTGGTCAAGACTCTTTTTTGCGGTGGGAGGGTTGGATCACACGCCGACAATTCGGCACAGCGACACTGCGGTGACACGTGCAGGGTTTACTTGTCACTTGGAAGCTGCTCGCGGGGCCAGGCGCCTGTGTCGAGCTCTTCAACTCTTCGGGCAGACCAGCCCCGCAAGAGCGGGCGCCGTGCAAGTGGAGCAGGAATAATGTTCCTCCAGGAGGCCCCTGGAAGCTTTGAGATTCGAAAGGTTCATCAAATCAAATACAAAAGGATCATCACTTCACCACATCCATCGCACATGTTCTTTTTTGCTGTGGACGTCGCGGTCGCAGTGTTGGCTTGGCGTTTGTTCGCCCACACGCATGAGGTGAAGTTGGGAGCCATGTGGCTCAAGTCACCATTCCATGGAAAGTGCGCAACCCATGGCGGCTCTCGGCACACTTTGCTTTCTTGCTGGTGGGGGCATAATGTGCAAAGCTTGCACCAGACCATCCGTAACATCAAGCTTTTTAAAGACAAACAGTTCAAGGCACAAAGAGGGCTTCTGGTTTTCAGAGAGGATTTGTCGTTTGGCGTGCATTGCAACAGCTGGCGTGTCCAGGGCTGCTAGCCAAACACAGCGTCGGTGGCCTACAGGTAAAGTAGTGCAGGTCCAACATTCAGGTGGCCACCGATTCGAGTTCGTCGTGGAGCGGCGGGGCAATTCCATCCTGCTGAGTTCACCACGGACCCCATTTCAGCGTTTGGCATTACCGACAGTGGTCCCAAAAGACTTTGAGGTTGTTGAGCTTCAATTTGCAAATGCTGCTGGTAGCGAGAAAGATTGGCCATTGTTTTGGAAGGTTTTGAGCTGGGAGGCTTGCGGCCATCGTTATGTTGAAATCAGGAGTGCAAGGAGACCGGACGTGTCACTTACAGTTTCTCATGGGCGCCTAGCTTTAGGTAGCTCTGGTGATGCCTTCATTGAGATCTCCTGTGCAGACCCACCACAGCTTCCCAAACCGCAAGCTGGTAGCAGCTTGAGCGGATGTCATTGGAATCAGGAGTTCTTGTCTGATTCTCAGCTTTTGGACTTTGCCAGAGACGGGGTTTTATTGCTTCGAGAGGCAGTGCCACGAACACTTTGGCAAGAAGCGTGTGCTTTGATTCATTCCGAATTAGGCAGACCCGGTGCTATCATAGATGGAGGGTTTGATTGCATGGGTAAGTTGGAGGGAAAGATCCTGCACCGTCACCAGTTTCGCGCTTTGCTCTCTGAAACCGATCGTTCTGGCACCAACGCCGCTGCTCGGGCATGCGCACAACTCTTGGGTCGTCGGGTCAAGCCACGTGAGCTGCAGCGCTGTCAGGTTGCCTTGCGTTTTCCAGAGCCAACTCTGTCCCTAGGCCCTAGGCCCTCCCCATAGCACCGTTGTCCACCGTTGTGTCATGGAAATTGCGCAATACGGGTAGTTGACGCATTAAGCATGTTGTTCAACACAATGGCCCCCCCCCCACACATATACATATAATATAACATCAAGGCTACCACCAAAGACCTACCATTTTTGCATCCTGCATGTGTGTGTGTAACTATACTATATATATAAATGTATATAGATAACTATGCTGAATGCTGAACTAGAGAGGTTCCTTGTTGTGGGTTATTGCTACAAGTGAAGCGTTTTAAGAATGAAGGACCGCGTGACTACGTGCTATAAGTTTCTTTGACAGACAGATATGGTGCCAAAAGTGCTGCAGTTTTTGAGTTTGTCAAAAGTTGCGGCTATTTTTGTGACAGCGTAGCATCCATTTTGCATCATTTTACCAACTGTGTCCATTGTAATGAGTGCAGCTGATAACAAGTTGGGGTTGTGGCTATACTGGACTGTGCCTGTGCGCTCTTTTTTTGGAGGCTTCACCGAGTAAAATCCTAACTTTATTTGGCAAGACACCTCCTTTAGAAAAGAAGCTCTTCACAAGAACTTTCCGTTGTTCATTTACGTATCTCCAGCTGGTCTATTCCAAGGCATTTTCCTGTGCTTGAGCCCACGGTGTCCACAGTACACATGTCCCCGAGCCTTCAGATTGAAAAGTGCTAAAAGCACGGCTAACAGGTGAATCTTGGAGGAGGGTACCGTACAATACACATGATTATGTACATTGGAACCCAATGGACCAAGGTTTGGAGATTTCGCCGCTGCCAAATGCTTGGAGCTGGTGGAGCTCAAGTGGCATACAGATGGCTGTCGCACCCGACAGTGCAGCAGACACCCCTTCAGCTTGCTGGTTGGTGTGGCGCTGACAGATACGATGGACGAAGTGCTTTCAGGCAATCTTTGTGTTTGGCCAGGTTCGCATGTTCATTTAAGACGTGAGCCGGCTCTTCGAATTTGTGATCCTGACGCTGATCCCTTTGGTATCCTGGAACTGGGAGCACCATTGTCTGGCTATGAGGCTTTGCCTGAAGTCGAAGCAAATGCGCCTGGAAGCCCAATTGCCTTAAGACTTCAAGCTGGTGACTGCGTTTTCCTGCATCCTCACATGGCTCATGCAGTTGCCCCCCGATATGTTTGCACTGGTGTTCGGGCCATGGTTTACTTTCGCCTCAGGCTTTCTTCGGCTGAGCCGCCCCCATGGCACATCAACGAGACCGGCAAGGAAGTCTTTTTCGATTTGCCTGGGTTGCATCGTATTTTAGGCGATGTCCGCTGGTCGGAGTTCCTTGCAATGCATCAGCTGGTGGAATTGGAAAAGGTGCTCTGCTTCAACCATTGCTTCAGCCAATGGCTTAAACATGCTTAAACGCTGCTATCATTGTCCGCTGCAATTGTTTATTTTTTTTGTTTGGGTTCAATCCTTCTCCGGCGCGTTGTTTTTGTCAGGCCATGTCAGAGCAGCAACGGCCAGCCGGTGCTATTCTGCAACATGCCCCGAGCCGACTCTCTGCACCTTGCCATCGAACAAGTCGTGTTCTTGTGATGCTTGAGGCATTGCAGAGAAGTAAAGTGGATAACTAGGGGCAAAGGGCAGATCTGCATTGACAGTTTTGGCTGGCTTCCACGAGTCTTTAACTGCTAAAGTAGCTCAGTAGCTGAAACATCAAGGGTTTCCCCATTTTGATTGGCCCCCTCACGGACCAAAGGCAACAGTCACGAAGAGATTTCAGAGTCTGGCATAGCATGACTTGCTCGTGTTTCCGCGCCTAGTTGGTGGACCTGGATTCGAGAACAGAGAATGGAGAGCCCTCTGCATCGCAATCCCGAGCATTCGGTGCGCTGGGAGGGGGAAGTCTTGACGAAAGGGCTGGAGCCAGCAGTTGATGGATTGCACACCTCACCATTTCGTTCTGGTAGAACGGAAATTCAATCAAGACAAAACTTTAGGAAGTGTTTGTGTTTTCGTTTGTGCAGATATGATGAGGCGATGCGTGTTGTGATGTGCAGCCGCGCGAGTCGCCTCAGTTGGCATTGTGCGTGCATTCTGTGTCGGAGTGGGGTCTGACCCCTCAAAGCCGCACGCAGGACCCTTTGCATTGAAACACTGGTCCGCACAGCGAGGGCACAATGATGCAAAATGCATGTCAGTAACCAGCTTACAGACTGATGTCATAAACGGCGACGCGTGTTGCTGACGGAGAAGCCAAGCAACTCGTTGCAAACACAGTAGAGGCAAGTCATGATAAGTCATCATCCAGGCTGCCAATGCTGACGCATAGGAGCCCCTTGTGCTGCGTCCTCCAAAGAACTGCGATGATTGTGATACCAACTCTCAAATAAACTGTCTCCTGCCCAAGACTCTTGTCTAGAATCTCCATGTCACTATTTCTATAGAAAATTGAAAACTCTTTTTGCTATACAGTACATCCCTCGAAAGCTGTACGGTTGGCCGCTTTCCTCTAAGAAACTACTGTATTGGATACTCTTTTCTTGCTGTTTGTTTTGTACCCTTTTTACTAGAAACCTCTACTACCTTTTTGATACTCTTGATGCTTCCGCAGCCTTGACAGTGCGCATTCTGAATCCTTGATGCCACTTCTCACTCAAGGCACGGCCGACTATCATCTTCCGCCATGTTTCTGTGGCTCTGACACCACGTTCTTGAACCTCACCTCCGGTTCTATTTCTATTAAGTTGCACACGGGATCGCCTTCAGCTATCCTTGCCCAGCCGGCAGCCGTCCGGCCGTCCGCACCTTCCGCTCAGACCAGGTAGCCTTTCGCTCGTCTGCGGCCAGACATTGATTTTTCCAACAACGCGCGCACTTGTTCACACGAGCGTCCAAGCATCCGCATCTCTCAGCTGCATTTTTAAGTGACTCGGAGCTTTCTCATCGAAACTTCCTTCGATGAGCTCCGCCAATTAGATTATATATATATATAAACAGATTGTAGACATGACATGTTCTTGATGATGCGCAGTCTGGCATTTCTTTTCAAGTGGTCACCGGGCCAGGTAGATCAGCAACATCGCATGGGACCTCAGACGGGCCTGCACGTGGGCTTTTGCTTTCAGATGGGCCCAGGGAAGAAAGAAGAGATGTGGAAACAACAGATCAGTTGTGATCAATTGATCATCAATTCCCAAATCCTCAATGTTCATTTTAGCCCACCCTAGGCATTAGTTTGTCCACCTGGTTGCTGATGAATCCGTCAATGTATATACCAATACTCTTTCAGCTTTTAGATGCCCAGAGTTACTGCACAAAGTGCGTTCATTTTTGAATTCTTATACGCATCGCATTCCATCCCAATTACTTTGATTTCCTTTGGCTCTGAGCGACTCCGATTTGTTCCAGCTTCCCCATTGCCAGGGCTACTGGCGCCTTGGGCGCCGAACTGTCTCGAGATCACTCGATGGTGACAAGGGATGAGTCAGTGGTGACCAGACAGGGCTCAATGCTGATGACCTCTGCAATGACCACTGGTGGCAGGCCCTCTCAAAGGAGGCAGGGCTACACTCACCGCCTTATATAAATGCTTCATTTCGAGCACAGTGTCATGAGCAGAGAAACAGAAACTCCAAGAAATGAGTCACCTTGTCAGGGCATCGATGGCCGTTGGCAAGGACGGGCAAGTCGAAGATAGTCGTGCGCTCATGGACCGACTTGTGCCTCGGACTGCAGCTGGGCAGATCGGAGGATCGAGCTTTCATTGTCGAAGCTAGGCAAAGCTCCGAATGGAGGGGACGGATCATGAGCAGCAGCTGAAAGACGAAGAGGAGAGGGCTGAATGACGCCTTTTGCGCATAGCTTGCTATGAAATCAAAGGAAAGTGATCGGGTGAGCCAATGTGAGCCATCTGAAGATCTGAAGACCAACGCATGAAGCAGTTTTGTATTTTCTAAAAAAGCCTTCGGCCCAAAACTCACACACACACACATATATATATATATATATACACATACACATACACACATGCCATCATAATGTCAAACGATGGTCCATGGTACCTACAGAATCTGATGGCATTGAGCGGCACAGACGACCCTGATTGCTAGGACCGCCGAAATCAGCAGAAGATGGCCGAGATTCTTGCCCATGGCATGAAATTATCAGCGGTTGGGCAAAGCTTGATTCCTTCATGTCTTGGTTTCAATCTTGTTGGCGCAACAGAGCAAACATGCAGCAGGCAGCCGGCAGGTCATGAGACCAAACGTGCGAACAAAGAGAAGGGGGTAGACAAGGCCAAAGAAGTCCCATAAGAAACACAGAGATGCACATAGGAAGGTGAGGGATTGTAAGTGGGAGGGGGCCTTATAATATATATCCTATTGTAATGCCTTACCTTCCTATGTTCGTCTCTTTTTTTGATATAGGACTCCGTTGTTCAAACGTGTTTCTGTTTTGGGTCACCTCTGAGTCACGGCTGTCTCTTGAGGCAAAAGCCTGGGGCGTTGGTGGCAAGCGCATTTCTGGCATGGTCTCCAAGGTTGAGCCGCACCCTTGGCGAGACATGGGTGAATCATGTTGAATCTCAAGACTCAAAACTTGTGAGTCACTAAACTGAACCTGTTACAGTACAACTGGTAGGCGTCCGGGTCATGCTACGCTAGACCCATGAATGCACATACACATTTATTTGTGCCTTACTGTCAAGTGCATGAAAAGCGTCATTTGTAGAACATGTGGTTTTCAAGCCCATGCTCCTACGATGGCTTTGCATCCAAATTGCTGGTGTGAACATTCGATGGAGATCTTGTGCGATTTGGACCAGGAAGGATGACAAGGGAAAGAGCAAGAAGCTCGGTGGACTCTTCGGGAGCAAGGAGGCATGAACTCAGATCAAGCTTACCCCTGGCTAAGTCCATTTACAGACGATATATATATATATATATGTGGCTGGTCACCGTTCACTCCCAAGTTTTGTACCCTTGCAGGGTCACATACCTGGTACAATGGTACAATGTACCCTTGCAGGCCGAACGAGAAGAGCAAGAGCAGAAGAAGGCAAAGCTTGAGACTATGACCCTGGACAAGAAGAGACAGATTGATTCCAATGCAGTGGCGCTGGCTGCACTAGGGCACATTGGGCTGGGCCTGCTGAGGATGGTAAAGCCAATGTTGAGTATTGATGAGTGATTATTAGTGTGATGGGATGGATACTATTTTGCAATATTTTGCAAATATACACCCTAGCAGTGGTGTTCAACAATGATATTTTTGTATTGTTCTCGGATTTCTCGCATAGCCAGGAGTTCCTTTGAGATCCTTGCCTAGCTTGTGTTTAGCTTTTGAACATTGGACTCTGACCTTCGAACTTCTTTCAAAACAGCTCATCCAACAACTGTCCCAAACAATTTTTGAAGGGAGTGGTCCTCGAGTATCCCGGGATGGAATCATAATTATACAGTACAGCTCGGAGCCCCTGCCAAAAAGATACATTTATTTGCTTAGCCGGGCTCGCTCAGATCCTGGCTTGGTTGAGTCCTTAACGTTCACCTTCAGAATTTCTTTGACTATAATAGCTTCTTGTTAGTACTAGTAAGGCACTTGTTACTAGTAGCGATGCACTTGTTACTAATAGCTTCTTGTTATTCATAGCCTTGTTGTTTTCTTTCCAAATCAGTTCCTAGACCAGACTCCCTTGAATTGCTTGGGGCGGTTCGCTCCACCCTTGATTATTTGCTAGGACGGAGGTGACTAGTGTTCCTGTGAGATCAGCAAGCCAACTATGCACCAAGTGCAATACAAATTGCAGCACGTCACACTAAGGCTATACTTGGGTGTCCTCAGGAGAAAAGTGCGTCAACATAGTTCTTTTTTTTCATAGAAGTGGCATCACGGCATCACAGCAAATGCTGGAAGGCCTGCTCAAGAGGCTACCAAGCTAGTCCATTCTTATTATTCAAGAAGCCAGAGCAGTGCAAGGGCTCTTTTTTCTAGGCTTGCAGGTGAAGCTGGAGGTGCCCCCCCCGCACCACTCTGGTTGCCATATCGGCAACCTCTTGCAAAACCAATTCCGTGAAGGACCTCAAGAACTATATATTCAAGCAGATCGAGCGAGAGATCAAAATGAACAACCAGGCGAAGGCAAAGCTGACCGAGTTGAAAGTTCTTATGGAAGGGGTTTTGAAGGTCTTTGTGCGCGCACATTGTTTGACTTATTTGACAAATCCATCGAATGCTTTGGACAGTTTTTCAGGATCCTCATGTTTTCGGGCTCCCTGACTGCAATGCAACGCTTTTGGAACCTAACTGTTTGGTGTGTGGTGTTGAGATGGCCAGTCGGCAGCACACTTCGGGTTTTCAGTTAGACTCAATTGCCACGATGGGAAGGAAGGCGGTGGAACAGTATGGCGAAAAGTCGGAAGCACTTGTAGGTGTTTTAACAAAGGCTGTTTCCCTTGACTGCGATGACCAAGCGGCTCACGCTGCGCCTTTGCTGGGGAAGAAAAGGTTTAGGGGAAAGTATCGTGAAGGACCATGGAACCAAAAAACGAGAGTAGACAGCTTGTCAACAGTTGAAAAGGAAAAGCAGGTACGTGAACCTGGCGTCCCAGGTTCATATCCTCTCCAATCATCAGTAGCTTCGTTGGCCACAGACTGATGAAAGGAGCTGTGGCCCCCTGCCTCTTTTTCTGCGTTGGGAGACTGTAAGTTAGTAGCGATACCAGGAGGCCTTAGTAGCAAAGCC